AAAGGCAAGCAAAGCAGAGCTATCACTTCGCATTAATGTCTGGTCCGAAGTGCCTCAGGATGGAGACGTTTCTCAATGTGCTGTGAAAAAAAAACAACCTTTCAGTTTCTTCATATTTATTAAAACAATGCAGCAATGCTTTTTGTTCTCTTTTAACATAGTACCTCATTTCAGGCATTTTAATATGCAATCATTAAAAACTAATCACAACTTTGTTTATACTGTGTGAAAATAAAAAAACCCACACATATTTATACAATATATTTATTTGTTTGCTTTTATAAAAAGTCTTGAAATTGTTTTTGACACAATTTGGGGAAAATTTTGACAATGAACAAATATCTTTTACTTATTAACACAGGGTAGGAGCATAATTCCCTTTTTTACCCTGATCTTCTGGAGGGCTTCTTCTCCTTCTCTCATCTAATAGGTTTTCTATAGGATTTGGATCTGAGAAGTGAGTTTGCCCTGAAAAAAATTCTGGTTTAGGATGTGTTGGATGAACAATCTGTGTTGATTTAGCCATACTTTTGGGATCATCTAATTAAAAACATTCACAAAAATGTATAATTTCTAGCGGAGACCTGATGGTTTGTATCAAAAAAGTTCCAGGATGTTAAAGATTTTATTGTGCATGTTTTTCAGGGATCTTGAATTCAGGGATTTACTTTTCTAGAAGTGCTGCTACTTTTTGGTTTTCACATTATCCCTCAGAGATGAAGAGCATTTTTTGAATCCATCACAGAATGATGGATTAAGTTACAATTTTTGTTTTTGTTTATCACAATCAAATGATGAATTAAATCACTGAGTAAAATATACTTTATTCTAGCTATTTTTTAACATTGACCTTATTCGACAGTGCTGGTAACAAAAGTCATGTGGCAGGTGTCCTAGATATGTGAGTGGGGGCTCCTGACTACAGTCAAAGTCCATGTCTTGTAAACCCGAAACTATTGAACTGTCCGATACCTTTTTTCAGCCTGGGCAATAAAACAATAAAATTATATATATTTTGATAAACACCTCTTCAATATCAATAGAAAATATATCAGCTAATATTTTTTGCTGTATAATTTCTCTGAACTCTATAACCAGAAATGCACAACATTCTGGCATAGAAAAGGGATTCACCTATCAACCTCTCAGGATCAGGCTAAATATGGTTAGCAGTGGAGCTAACCTCCTTTTAGAGGTCACCTTTAAATATGTCTAAAGTTACCTTTCGTTGTTCTTTTTTCCCTGGTCCTTATTTCATACAGATAAAATAAAATACTAATCAACAAGAATTGATATGAACGATGAATGTCTTACATTGATACACATTTTCCAGCCATATTGCACGCCCTACTTAGGGCACATAAATAAAGTATTTAACAGTAAAAATGTATAAATATATCTCAATATATAATTCCACATTTGACTTTGGTAATAGTTACAGTCCTAGAGAAAATAAAGTGGACCTACTCTCCATTTAAATCAAAGATTGCCTCCATTTTGTTTGTACCAGGCTGTTTTTATGGTGCATTTATTCTTTTCTTCTAAATTGTTTATTTTGTAGTATTATTTAGACATGGTTTAATTTGCTTTTTGTTTTTTTCCATTGCATGGTATCTTCAAACAAGTCAAGAAGTTTTTAAAATAAGCAAACCTTGAGTTGAAAGGGTAAAATGTATATACTCAATAGTGCCCAATTAACATTAAAGGTATTGCAGAGGATTATCTGAAAAAACCGGCCTCTCCACATTTTTTAAAGTGGAGAGGCGCAGGGAGAGGGAAGTAATTTCTCCTCGTGCAAGCTATGTTTAAATGCAGGGGCGGAGCTAGATGGGGGGCCAGGGGTGGTCATGGTCACCCTTAGCCAATCATTGGCCACCCCTACCACTTTTTCCCTCTAATACAGACGGTGGCAGCAGTAATACTGTCAAGTGGAATATTCAAAACATTTAAATTTTTCATATATTACTAATTACTTGACAACAAACACCCTGTGTTTAATTATGCTCATCAATATGCTAATATTAAAGATGATAAATACAGAATTCATGCTCTTTTCAGAACTAGATTTTTAGTTAAAATTGGAAAAAGAGAAAATAATGTGTCTCTGCAAGTCATCTAGGTGTCTTCAGTGAAATCATAAATAAATATAAAAAAAAAACGTATAAAATAATCAATTCATGTAGATATTAGTACATGTAAAAATCAATTTTATGCCGAATGATTATTGATAAAAGTAGGTAAGTAATGACAATGGAAAAGATGTTTGCCCCAGAACTCAAACCTGAAAGAATTTTATTCACTATATCTTTAATTTAGACACCATGGATGTTTAAATATATGCGTCGTTAGTCTTTATTTTGAAAATATGGATGTTGCGCTCGTTAATTTTCTTGTTGGAAAAGTGCAGATTGACCCTGAGGTTCTGGTGCTGATCCACTTTTGGCCACCCCTCAGTCTACATTGATTATTGCCTGGCCTCCAGCCCTGGACTGGTAATGTGTGATATCCGGCATTTGCCAGGTGTGTCGTTCCTACTTCCAGCATGCGAGGGCCGGCCCTCCTTTAATCATACCCGCCCCCAACATTCCCTCTCCTGCCGCTTACCAGTGAATATTACACTGCAAAAACAATCCAGAAATAAGTAAAAAATGGCTTAAATTAAGTATATTTAGCCTTAATTTGAGCAGGTAAATAAGATGATTTGCCAATGGAATGAGTATTTTCACTCTTAAAATAAGATAGTTAGATAATATTTACTTGAAATAAGACGATAAAATAGTTTTTTCTTATTTTAAAAGGAAATTGTCTTGTTCCATTGGCAAAGTGTCTTACTTACCTCCTCAAATCAAGGAAAAACACACTTATTTTAAGAAAAAATAACTTATTGAGATTTATATTTTTTGCAGTGTAGTTACCAAGGAGTTCAAGAAGTAATACAATCTTACCTATCTAACTGACGCATGCAGTATATATAGCCCTTCCTTGGCATATGGTGTCATTTTCTATTTCTTCAAACTGTAAAATTCTTGCAACAAACTAAATTATGATAAAACTAAAATGCTTTCTTTAAACCAAAATACAATGTTGCTTTGATATTTGGCAAATTTATGTTGGAATATTTTGCAAAACAATGTTGCGGTGCATGATGGGATTTTGCATCTATTTACATTATTCCGCTTCATTGCCCCCATGCCACTTAGACTTGCAGTGAATACTTACACACCGCTGAGCTTTCATGTATTCATTCTTGAAGAACTGCCTGTCTGCCTCTATATTGTATTGTTTTATTTTGGTGTTTTTACAACACTCGGGCTTATGTTGTAGACCTAGTATGTGTGAGTGGATGTCTGGCTGACGTTGCGCAGCAGCAGTCACTGTCGCATCTATGTTAAAGGGGAACTTTGTTTTTTTTACATTGGGCCCTTGATTTTACGTTATTCCATCATGTTCTACTCACCCATATGAGTTTTGTGTCATTTGGAGCTGTTCTGAAGATATTCTGTTAGGTTATATCCAAGTAACGTCTTCTATTGGCGAACGAGTTGAAGGCACAAACTAAACTGTTCGTAATTTATCATTTATGGTACGCCAGCATTCATAACATGTAGGCGAATCACTGTCCTCCAGACATCCGCAGATATATTTTTTATATTTATATTTTTCAAAAACAAAGCGGCGCGTGTATGAAGTCATCCACGCGTCGGACTGGAGTTGTGACAAGCAGCCCGGGCCACAGGCGGCTACGCTCTACCTCTTCTATTCGTTCGGCTAGCTAATCTGAATCGTTCAATTTCATTTCGAGAGCGAGATCATCTGTGGTAGTAGCACTAGACATCTTCCAGGCATGTAAGTAAAACTAGCAGCAGTTCAGCTGACAGGATGAATGAACGGTAGCCGGAGCACGCGCATGACATCATACATGTGCCACTTTGTTATAAAAAAATTTAAATATAAAAAATATGACCGCGGATGTCTGGGGGACAGTGATTCGCCTACATGTTATGAATGCTGGCGTACCATAAATGATAAATTATGAACAGTTTAGTTTGTGCCTTCAACTCGTTGCCCATAGGAAGACGTTACGGTACTTGGATTACAAAACCGAATATCTTCAGAACAGCTCCAAATGACATAAAACTAATATGGGTGAGTAGAATATTATGTAATAACGTAAAATCAAGGACCCAATGCAAAAATAACGGTGTCCCCCTTTAATTACCAAAGCCAGTAAAACCGCATTATAGAAGTCTTGGTGATGGTTGCCGTGTGATGCTTGGAGATAGATTGGTTAATCCACAATATGTATCCGTATTGTGTTTCACATTTGAGATGCACATGTTTGATTTTGCTTTATTTTTATTTTTTTTTCTGGGGGGTGGGGAATAGGCCGGTGTAGATGGAAAAATGGCAGGGCCAAAAATCTTTCCCAGTCTGCTGGCCACCCTTATAAAAAGGGTGGCCAGCACCTCTGTTAAAATGTTGCTGTTTGCATCATGCAAACAAGCTTACTTTCCAAAACATTTGCAAGTTTTCCACTATGTCAGACTCACCACCGGTAAGCTACAGTGGGGACGTAAACATATCACCAGAATGATTGACAATTAGGAGGACCACTTATTTTGATGATCCACCCGGAAAAAGAACACCCTCCACTATACCTTTAAATCTTATATTTAGTCATCAAATAGCAACTCAGTTTTTCAAACATTTTCTGAAAAAAACCCCAAAAAAACACTTCGACTTTTTATGAGCTGTAGCACAACCATCATAAGGATCAATCATGTCATTCACATTTTTGGGATCTACCTGTTAGTCAAGGTCCATTATCATGTTTAATGAGCTTGTGTAAAAATGAAACCAGTTTGTTCTTAGAAACAGATCATAACAGAGGCGAAAAAGCTGACAAATGAGACATTATTAACAGAAGTCTAACGTCCTGAGGAGCCACCTGGGAGGCTCACCTGCCTCAGAGCTGAGCAGCGAGCAGGATGAACTGCGCATGCGCCGTTCACTCCAGGGCTCCACTGTCATGGCGCTGACGAACTGAAGCTACCGGGGCAGATCAGGAAGCAAAAGCGGCGCAGCTGCTTCAACGTTGTCAATTAACTGAGTCTGCGGAGCTTCCCGAGGAGCATCGAGCCCACCTCCGTCCTTTACCTTTCCCCCATCGCTGCAGCAGATGGGACTTTATCCCTGCCTTTGTGGAGAGTTTTTCGGCTGAGTGTCAAGTGAGTGAGTGGACTCGGTGACAGCAGCAACTTCCACAGCTGAAGGGGAGAAATTAAAGTGACTGTATCCAGAGGAGGAACCAGGTGGACGTTGCCCGCTTCGAGTCGCTTTCTACCTGCGGTTCTTCACGGGTTTGAACCGCATCAATTAATCCGTGCGGTATCAAGTTACGGAGCGAGCAGGGCAGAGGAGAGGAGTAAGTCAGTGTGGGTGACATTTCCAACCACCGACACAATCCCTGCGCTTTATCCATCGCTCGTTAAACTACTTTAAATGGGAAGAAATGGATGTAATTATGTGTCTTTAGGCTGCTCGCACTTAATCTGAAGGAGAGACAGAAGAGCCGTTTTTTTTCTCCTCCTTTTTCCACGTCGGCGGCACCCTCGCCATTGGAGGTGAACAGGTGCGTTACCTGTGAACGCCACCTGTCCCGTCCTTCCTTAGCAATGGCTAGCGCGGAGGCGGCGGGCGCAGCGCAGCCAGGTGATGGAAAGGACGGCCGATCAGGCTCCATGCAGCTCAACCCCGCGGTGCCCATCAGGGGAATCAGGATGAAATTCGCCGTGCTGGCCGGCCTGGTGGAAGTTGGGGAAGTTTCCAACCGAGACATCGTGGAGACTGTGTTCAACCTGGTAAGCTGATTATGGGAGCTGAGGGCAGGCCGCAGGTTGCACTGTCACCCTGTCCTTTTGTCACAGCAGGATCCCTTTTTAATCTCAATGTCAGACGCTAAATTTATTCAGAAAAGTATTTTGTGAAAGTTCCATAGAATATGAGCCTTAGTTGGGTTTGCAATTTCCTGTCTGTCACACTTTCTAACAGCCTCATAGGGTTCCTGGCCATTATAGCTGTTGGAGTCAAAGCAGGGCTGGATACAGATTAAATGGGGCCCTGAGCAGAATTTTATACAGGCCACCATTTCCAATAAAGAGATATATTCTCTACATTGATTTAAGGTTCTAAATAAAAAAATATTGATTAAAAAAGATCCCTAGATTGCTGAAAATTTGTTAAAAAGTACAAATAAAAACTTTGGCTCAGTCACACTACAACCTGAAGTGATCCAAATTTTTTTTTTGCCCATATGCAACCTGTATCCGATCTTTTCATTGCAGTCTGAACAGCACAGATTGGATTTTTCCACTGTGACCAAGGCTATTTGGCTGTGTGGTCCTGAATCCGATATGTATCCGATCTTTGAAACTGCGACCTGTGTCTGAAAGGCAAGGTCCCATTCATCAATGTCATTAATACTCTACAAAGGTCACTATTCTGCATCTTGCTACGCAGATGCGGGGAAAAAAACAACCACTGTAGACGATAATGCGGAGTCGTTATATTCAACCCTCTTGAAGTTATTTTATTTTTTATGCGCTGGCTGAGGTTGGGAAAGAAATTAAGGACTGCTAGATGTGCTGCATGTGAGCTTGTGACATCATTGCGTCCTCTACTCCGCATGCGGGACACTTAAGCTGTATGAATGCAGTTCACACAGGGGATCACATAAAAGTTGCATTTATTTGACTATGTGAACAGCTATGCAAAAGAATTGGATTTCACAAAAAAGAAAATCAGAATTGAGTCTTACTGCCTGCAGTGTGAATGTAGCCTTAGTGTTTGAAGGCAGCTAATCAGATGGACCTGCCATTCTAAACAAATTGTTTATAGCAGTATGACATAAAGTATTACTATTTGTAGATTATATCATGTCTAAACTTTGGCAGAAGGCCTTTGCTTTGGTTGTATTTTCATGGCTATAGAAGAGTTATGTTGATAAAGGCTGTCTGATATATTAGGTCACCTGGTCAGAAGTCCAAGTAGGATCTTTTCCAAAACAAATCAGATTTAGAAAAGTGTAGCAATGCTTTCCCTTCACAGTGGATAACCCAGGAAGAAGAGATGATGACCTACTGTAAGAGATTGCTGCTTAAATGGGCAAATACGTTCGCGATTATTTCATAGATCATTCAGGACATAATAATTATTACATCATTAGCTGCTGTCAATGTAAATTTATAGTAAATATAAACCACTGATGATCACAGACAGCCTGAACTTGATGGCTTGATGGTAGTTTTGTTATTTAAGGTAAGATTTTGTTTCTGTACCCAAAAAAAGGCTCAATGACACGTTTATATCAGGGTCATGGTTGGTATTGCAGGTATGTGGTATGGCCCGGTTAAAGCCTTACCAAGATAGAGCATCTACCCAGTATACTAGTTTAATCACGGGGTGAAAATTGGGCCCCCCCTAAGTAAAATACCGGCGGCATGTTTTCCCTGTGGGGAAAGTCAAAAGGTAACTCTTAGCATACTGAAAAGTTAAGCTTGTCAGGCAAACTGATAAAGCCAGGTGAATTTATTAATGTGGACTCAGAGTATGAAAGGAAGTGCAAATTTGATTGAGTTTTAAAAGAATAAAAAGGTAATGTGAAAAAGTAAGGAAGGACCTTCCACATGATTGAAGGATCAAATGTGTTGGTGACCTTTAAAAATTTGTTTATAAAGCTGTGAGAAGTTGTAACTTAGAAATCCAGAATAATCACAATGTCAGTTCATTGATGTTATTTATTTCAATAAAAAGGTCACTTTTGTTACTGTAGAGTATTATATTTTACACAGTTGTGACCGAGAACATTCTCTCATTAACGAAAAGGTTATTCTGCTTGTATAATGTTTTATATGGAAGGTAAACTGAATGGGTTTCAGTTTTTTTTTTAACAGAAACCAGACTCTGAGGGAAAAAGTATGCACATGCTCACACATGTAAACCGTTGGTTGTTCAAATTTTGGTAATTTAAAAACATTTAAAATCTTTTTTTACACTTCTATTAATGTTCTCATAATTCAAAAAGTTTTTTTTTGCAACCAGCCAACCAACTAAACTCCAGCAATTTGTTTCCATTTCTGTTGCTGTAGGAATCAAAAACAAAATGAAAGGTATAAAAAAAAAAAAAAAAAAAAAAAAAAAAAAAAAAAAAAAAATTATATATATATATATATATATATATATATATATATATATATATATATATATATATATTAGTCTTTCCATGATGTCATCAGGAGTAATTTGAACAAGGGAAATAAAATGCTCTTTTGGAGTGGAAAGTACAGCCAGTAGTGTAACGTCCAGTCAAGCAAGTGGTTGTGCTCATAAGCATTCACTGACTGAATAAACTCCAGTGTTATTGTGCATTAAATAGGAAATCAGCTGAGAGGTTTTTTTTTATTTTTTACCATAGACCCATTTTTCTTAAACCCAACGACAAATCTACATCAATGACTTGTCCAGCCTACTAGGACGTGCCCCCTGCTGGCCTGAGGGTCCTACAACGTTGGTTGGCTTCCTCAGGTTCTGGACTCTGCATTCATCCTTCTTCTAGAGTCAATTGATTTACCAAGTAGCTTGCAAAACTACTAATGTGGGGAGTTGGTCAAATAGTTTATATTTTTACATTTTTAGATGGATTTTAAATGGACTGGAAAATATTAATGCCGAAATATTTAAAGAAGGAAGCTGCTGCAGTTATTTTGTGTTACACATTGAAGTCAGTCATATATCACCTATTGGGTGGTTCTGTTTTTATGCATCAGCGATAGCGAGCTGTTAAGTGACCTTAGTACACCTGCTTGAGAATGAACGAATGAATGAATGGATCTCTCTACAACCAGGAAATGTAGCGTTTAGGATAGAGCATGCTTAACCAGAGTTTCCGCTGCAGAGGTGGGAGGAGAGGCAATAGTGGAACCTGCGGAACTGCTTTGTCACCGTGTGAAACAATGAAGTCCTGTAGAGGGGGAGACTCATCCTCTGTGTCTGTAATGATTAAGTAAACCACAACCCCCACTGTGGAGGCAAATTAATCATAGGGTGGTATACAGGCGGTTTTCTTCACGTGGCTATGGCCTTTACTGCTCTGCCATTAGTAAAACCTCACATATGGCATGTTTGATAACCTACAGATTTGTTTTTCCTTTTCAGCAAATTAGGAATTGGAAAAACTCACATTCTCCCTGCTTATAAAACATTTGAATGTCTTTTCACATCCCATTGTTGAAACAGAATTGAATAAAAAGCTGTCTTTGCCTCAGATTTAAGACTGGCCATGTGCGTCCTTTACTCTTTTGCAAACCAATCCTATAGTTAATGTCATATAGCAAAGACAATTCTCAGCATTTCATGTTTGATGTATATCATTTTTCAATGGGTCAGGTTCACTAGCTTAGGTGTTCTGTTGGTGCTGAAGGTTAGTTTGCCTCTTTGAAAATAAGAGTAATTACTCCAGACATGCGGTTTGTAGGGACCGTCATAAGGGCATACAGTGGTTTCTCTTCTTGGGCATCTCCTAAAATCACACTCTATGCTGTTCTTATTCATTCTTCATGTGGTAATCCCCCCTTAACAAATTATTGCTCATAATTTCCCTTTAGGATGATTCTTGCGGTCCTTCTCTATATACAAGTCTAATGGCACAAAGGTTTCTGCAGTGGAGTGAGCTGTGAGAGCTTGCCACAGAGGTGGTCGCCGTGACACGTGTGCTGAGGTTCAAAACATCAGGAGGTGCATTGGTTAGACGGCTGACTGTGGTTTTTGCTTGGAGTCTTGATTTGATGACAATAGGGGGAAAAAATTGCAAATCTTTATAAAATCTAGTTGTCTTTTTCTACTCCATGTTGGCGCATCTGCTAAAATGTGATAGATGAAAGAAGCAGAGTAAACTAGAAGATGAGAGTTTTATATTTCTCAAGCACAATTTCTTATTTTTCACAGGCCACCATGTCTTATTCACGCTCTTAGATTTTTTTATTTACATGATTTGATGTATTATATTTGATCTGTCAGATTTTTTAAGAAATCTGCTCAGTGTCTTGTGTAATTGTGGCCCAGCCCAGGTGTTGCCTAATGAAGCCCTCTTTGCTAAAGCCCATCCCAGGTCAGCCCTACCCAGCATCATCATAAAGAAGGGTAAACAGAAACACCTGCATACCGTATTTATCTTTTGTTGCCACAAAAGCCTTTAATTAAAATGATATTCCACCATATTCTGAGGACAATTTGGACTTTGTTGGCTTGTTAGTCAATTTCATCAGATGACTAGTATAATGTAAAAAGGTAGCCACCAGTTCTAAGGATGTTTGCCCTATTTTATACCTTTATCTAGTGTGTTATTAAGTTGTGGCCTAGAAACAAAAATCTCTTCCCCCACGTGTTCAGATAAAAATAATACTGAGCAAACATCTCCCAGTGCAGAATATCTATCAGATATTTTAGGTCAATCCCAAGGTTTGAGAAATCATGATCGGGCTGCTTTTAAATAGGAGAATGTTTGAATTTCTGCAGTTATTGAAGAGAGGTTCAAAGGTTTGCAGTCATTTTAAGTGTGTTGTAAATGGCTACCCACAGTTTTACAGGAAGCAGGCCTGCTTTCTTGTTTTGGTTTTTGGTTTTGGTGAAGTTATGTTAAATGTCGAACGCAGAAAGCTGCTTGAAGCACGGAGAGGTATTTCTCTGAGTGGTGTACTGTAAGCATTTCTGAATGAGGAATCCGTTTGTTTATGTTTTCAGTTCAAACAAAGCCAGTTAACCACTAAGCAATCAGCCGACAATGCGTATATAAAAGTAAATGACA